TCGAATGTTTTTTTTTTTGTATTTTGGGGACACATTTTTTTCCTGCATGTTTTATGGTTCGTCCAAAATCCCCCTGTAGAGGGACAGGCCCGACCTAAGCCGTGGCCCCGTCGCGCAGCGACCAAGAACATAGCGAGCGGCGCTCTCTCGCTGCGGCTCTCGGCCTCCCGGGGCCCGTGCGCCGGCCCCTGCCCTTTTCTCTTCGCGTCCCGAGCACGCTCCTCCTCCTCCTCCTCCTCCTCCTCCTCCTCCTCCTCCTCCTCCTCCTCCCCCTTCCCCTCCCCCTCTCCCTCCCCCTCCCCCTCCACGGGAGGTGTTCGGCTGCTTCGGGCCCCCCGGGGCCCTCACCGTGCCCTGAGTCGGGGCTCAAGAGACGAGGGTCAATGCAAACGGGGGTCAGCCAGGGCACCAGAGCTTGCAGGATCTTGCGGAGACCCCCTCTGGCTGACCCGGGTCAGCGAGCCGCTCGTGGCCGCGAGGCGGCCGCGCGTATTGGCTGACCTGGGTTTGCGAAGACTTGCGTTGCCGCTTTTTTTTCCTGCATTGCAATTGTTTGGTTTCCGGCTGACCCGGGTTTGGATTGACCTGGGTTAGCAGACCCCCGACTGGGGCGGTCAGAAAGCCGACTCGGGATAAGAAGCGTCCCCCTGGGAGGAGGCCCAGACCTCGTGGCGAGCCACGCTGCGAGCAAACAATTCTACGTCGTACGTCTGGCGGGGGGCACATGTCACACCTGGCTGTTTGCGCGCCCCTCCTCCTCTTTCTCATTAGCTTTCTTGTCGGGTGGGCTCGACCTCTGTGCGGCACTGGCTTCAGGATGGCTCGCCCCTCCCAACACACCCGACGCGCATCCCAGCCATCCCAGATCTCTGGATATTTGTTGCTTCAGTTTGGGCAGTTTTCCAGATTTGTGGCCCGTGAGTTGCGACCATCGACCCCCCCCCTGTCAGCGAAACTAGATCACGATCCGGTCCGGAACGTGACATTCCGTACCGCGAGCCTTCCGTGCGGCATTTCAGCAGGTTTTCGGCCGATTCCTAGAGGATTCCCGAGGATTCCCGCAGATTCCTCCGGACTGATTTCTAGAATTCTTGAAGGATTCTTGCCGGCTCCTTAGGATGCCTGAGGATTTCTGAGTTTCCGCAGCATTCCGAAATGATCCCTACATGATTCCGAAGGGTTCGGTGAGGTCCTGGGAGATTTCTGAAGATTCTGCTACCGATAACGGGGGGGATCGGTAATGGGGGTAATCACGGTTGACCTCGTCGGGTATCTGGGACCCGGCGTCGTGATTCTTCCGCCTAAAAGTTTCGAAACGTGGCTTCCATCCGGGCCCCTTCCTGGGGGTCGGCTTCCCATCCCCTTATTCCACCTGGCCGGTGTCAAGCAGTGGCGAAGCGTCCCGGCTCGCCTACAGGCCCACTGAAGAATGTTCTAAGAACCTCTCGTGGTTTGCAAGACGTGTTCTTAGAGCATTTCTGGTGGAGACTGCCTTATTTTGAACATCTCGGGTTAATGTTATAAGCGCAGTGTTTTTGTGTTTCGAACATTTTCGGGTTCTAAGAACACTTCGTGGTAGGACTAGAAGAGTGCTGGGGCGGTCGGTCCCTGCTCAAAAGTAGAAGCTGTTAGATGTTGAGGAAAAGGTCCCCGACCCGCCTATAGCCGTGCACACCGCGGCCGACGGTCCCCGGGGCTCGCTGTGGCCCCTGGGTGTCCCGTCGTGCCTGCCCTGCACACCGCGCCAGAGGCCCGAGAGATTCCCGAGAGTCTCGGGCCGGACGAAAGGGGGGGATTGGGAAAGGGAGGGTTACGAAATTTGCTGCATGCAGCTGGTCTCGGCGCCTCCCGGCCGCCTCCGGCGCCGGGAGGCGCCGGGAAAATCAGCTATGTGAGCTGATTCCCCCCCCCCCCTCAGCCCGAGATTCCCGAGAGTCCAAGGGCGACGCAGTGAGCTTCGGTAGCAAATCATGGAAGCCTGGTGTACCCCCCTTTGATTCCGTCTTCAGCGTCGGTTGGCGTCGGGGTCGGGGGTGGACAGACCTCCTACCCTGACACGCCGATTAGCGATTGGGCCTTTTTGGGTCGCGAGAGGGCATCGCGGCCGTCATGTTTGCGGGTCCAGGTGCGTCGGTTTCGGTCCCAGGCCGTTTTCATTAAAGGGTGGTTTACTAAAGGGAGGTTTGTCCACCGCCGACTGGGGGTTGATGAGATAGCGCCGATGTGGCGTCGGGTAGCGTCGATTAGCGTCGATTTGGCGTCGACCAGCCTCGATCAGTGTCGATTCGCAAGAGCCAGTAAGATGGCATGGGAGGCTCCCATGATTTGCCACCGAAATTAGCAATGGTATAGAACAGTCGTAGCGAAACGACGACCCCTCTAGAACTGCATGACGGCGTCGCGACGTCCAGGCGACACGACGTCGTGCCGTCCACAGACGTCTGGACAGACGTCAGACTCATACGCTAAGAACGTGCGTGAGTCACATGTGCCCGTAACGTGCATTGTAACCATGCGCGCGCGATGAACATCCAGGACGTACACCAAACACATACACCAGAACCACGCGTCAATGACATTCACCGCATGCACCAGTAGCACACGCCAGGCACACATCAACAATACACGTCAATCACCAGCACCAGCAACATACATTAATTACAGGCCTGCGGAAACACGCTGCTGGCATGCACACATCAACATACGCCACGAACCGTCCCCAATCAGACACGCCAGCAACACTCGCCAGCAACATACGCACATCACATATATCAGGCCTATGCTTTCACATGGTGTGGCGCATGCAGAAGCCATACATCAGCACCAAGCACCAGTGGCAGGAACACGGAGCAATCGCCAACATCTAGACACCAGGCACATGCGTCAATCGCAGACAGCCGACGCGCTGATAAGGACAGCTCTGGGCTCAGGAGGGGCTCGGGTTTTCGGGCCGGTCTTCAGATGTATGCAGTGGAACATGTGTGTGGCCTAGACCCGCCGTGGCCAGAAACAACTCGCTGTTTCTTAAGATCCGTTCCTCATGGTGGCGCGATGACTGTACATCAGCGACATACACAATAACGTACACCACCAAGATACACGATCAACACGCACCGTCAGCATACACAAGTATCTTGCGTCATCTGTATGCACCGGGAGCATTCCTCAATCGCGTGCACCATTAACAAATGAAGCCCACTAGAGCAGACGCCCAGAACGTATATCAATACTATATTTGCCGAAAGCACGTATCGATCAAGTATACGCGTCTGCGCCGCTTGTGGGCCCAGGATGCGCATGGCCAGGATCCGTGAGATTGACACTTAGGCATCCGACGTGGCGTCGCGCCTTTTTTCGCAACGTGGCCCGCCAAGAGGTCTGGCCTCATTACCGGGGACGGGCTTCTCACCTCCGAGCCGCTTCTTGCCCCCGAGAGGCCCGAGACGGCCAAGCACCTCCCGTCGTGATTGGAGAGGCCTGACGGCCGGTGCCGCCGACCCTGATCAAAGGGGCTAGGAGGGGGAGGAGGAAGCGAAGGAGGGGGAGGAGGAGGCGGAGGAGGAGGAGGAGGAGGAGAACGAGGAGGAGGAGGACAGGGACGAGCACGAGGAAGAGGAGGGGGAGGGGGAGAAGGGATACCAGGGACGGGCCTCTCACCTCCGAGCCGCCTCTCACCTTCTCACCTCCGGTCGTGTTTTTTTTGTTTTTTCTACAACGGCGCGGAGAGGCCAGGGCCTGCCCCCCCCCCCCCGGCAAGCCCCAGTGCCTGTGCCGCGTGGCCGCTGAGAGCCGCGGGGCCAGGCTCCCAAGGATTGAGGAAGAGGAGGAGGAGGAGGAGGAGGAGGAGGAGGAGGAGGAGGAGGAGGGCAGTTTGGCGGGCGCATGGTCTGTGGACTTTGGGCCCTCGTACTCTTCTCGCTTTTCTCAGCCTTGCCTTTTTCTGCCGCGCCCGCCAGGTTTAATTAGTTTGCTCTCTGCCTAAGTCGGCGTACTTTTTTTTGCACACCAAGAACGCAAATATCTGTGATCCATGTCTGTCCAGCGTCAAAAAAGAGGACAGGAGGGAAATATGGAGGGCGAACCGAAATCCAGCGCAGGCGTACAGCACAGGCGACACACGCGTCAGCAGAGGAGGGATTTGCCTACATCCTGGGAGACGGGGAGCAGTGAGCAGGGTGAGGCTGGACATAATGGACCAGCAGCGAGCTTGCGCGGACGGAGGGCGTCACTTTCGCTATACTGACGCTTCGCCCGCGTGCGCCAGCGGCTTGAAGGGCGCCCCGCTCCTTGGCATCTGCCGGCACGATTGTTTCAATCTGCGGCTCCAGATCACCGAGCGCGTTCCACCACTCGCAAAGTGCCTACTCGCAGACGTCCGACAACAAAAACACATGCCTGCTTCGATGTAACTTATCGTAGATCCCCCGCGGCGGATCCAGGCTATTTGCGAGTGGTTACTTTGCGAGTAGTAGAACGCGCTCGTCTAACCATGGGGGTGGTTTCTCGCCCCGGATCCGCTTCTAATGGTCCTGGGGCCCGGCAGTGGGCCCCTGTGAGGCCAAATCTTGGAGGAAAGAAGCTCACATCTGGGATTGGGCCCCTGTCGTGGCGCCAAGCCACGCGTGGACCGATTCGGCCCGATCGCTCCGAGTCGATGTCGACTCCAGCGGGCCCGATCCGATGCCGTCTTTATTTTCTGACGATCCGATGCGGCCCGAGTCTTGCAGGGCGCTGTCGCGCTTTCTGTCGCAGCCGATCCAGCTCGATTTCGATTCCATGCCGATGCAGCCCGATCCGACGCACATTCCGTTTCGACCCGATTTCCCGGCGCCAGGGCGCGCCTGGCCCATATCCTGGCGCCCCTGGGGCTGCGACGGAGGATGGCAGGGAGCGGGAGGAGCAAGGAGAGGAGGAGAGGGAGCGAGCGAGGGGAGGAACGAGAAGGAGCTAGGAGGTTAGGAAGACGACCCGAGAGTGCTCCAATGCACGGCGGCACCGAGGCACGCCTGGACCATCTCCTGGCGGCCCCTGGGCGGCGCGAAAAGCGGGGCGCCTGGCCGTGGCGGCGCAGCTGGGCTGGCGCGGGAGGCCCGTGCGTTCCGGATTCCCGCCCCCCCCGCCTCCCCCCACCCTCCCATGCGTGATCCTGCTCCTCCTGCATCTGCTCCTCCTCCTCCTCTTCCTCCTCCTGCTCCCTTCCTTCTCCTCCTCCTCCTCCTCCTCCTTCTCCTCTTCCTCCTCCTCCTCCTCCTCCTCCTCCTCCTCCTCTATCTCTTCTTCCCCTCCCCTCTCCCTCCCCTCCCCTCCCCTCCTCTCCTCTCCTCTCCTTCCTCTCCTCTCCTCTCCTCTCCTCTTCTCTCTCCTTTCCTCTCCTCTCCTTCCTCTCCTCTCCTCTCCTCCTCCCCACTCTCCTCCTCCTCCTCCTCCTCCTCCTTCTCCTTCTTCTCCTTTTCCTCCTCCTCCTCCTCCTCTTCCTCCTCCTCCTCCTGAACCTCTGGGCACGCTCCACCTCCTCCTGCTGCTCCTCCTCCCCCCCCTCCTCCTCCTCCTCCCCCTCCTCCTCCTTCTGCTCCTTCTGCTCCATTCCTCCTCCTCCTCCTCCTCCTCCCGTTCTCCTCTTCCTCCTCCTCGCTCATCTCCTCCTCCCTTCTCCCCTCCTCCGTCCTCCCTCTCCCTTCTCCCTCCTTCGCTTCCTCCTCTTTCTCCTCCTCCTCCTCCTCCCCCTCCTTTTCCCCCTCCTCCTCCCTCCTCCTCTCCTCCTCCTCCTCCTCCTCTCCTTCCCTCCCTCCTCCTCCTCCTCCTCCTCCTCCTCCTCCTTCTCCCCCTCCTCCTCCTCCTCCTTCTCCTCCTCCATTCTCCTTCCTCCTCCTCCTCCTCCTCTTCCTCCTCCACCCCCCCTCTTATCCTCCTCCTCCTTGCCTCCCTCCATCATCTCCTCGTGCTCCTCTTTGCCTCCCTCCCTCCTGCTCCTCCCGCCGCCCTCATCCGCCCTCTTCCTGCTCTGCTTGGTGGCAGCAGAGCCGGCCGCGCAAGACCGCGGGGCGCGGGTGCGCGGCCAAGAGGGGGGGGGAGAGGCGTTCTCCCAGCTGTAGCTCGCCTGTCTGGCATCTGTGCTGGTATCCGACCGACGGGCCTCCCTCCCTTTTACATAGACAGCGTTTGGGCGTAGAGTTTCGTTCAAGCAGTGGCGAAGCGTCCCGGCTCGCCTATAGCCCCACCAAACAATGTTCTAAGAACCTTTTGTGGTTCCCACGAAATGTTATTGAATCGTTTCGCTCATTCCGCCGGCCCGTATTGTGCCATCGCGGGCGTTTGCTTGCGCGGCCGCGAGCCAGGCGGCGCTGGTGGGCCGTGGTCGTTTTCCAGAGGCGTTGCGGCAGAACGCATGGGGATGAAGCAGTTTGTTTGGAGCTTGTTGTGGGGGCTTCGGCCTCTACTGTCTTACGAGGTGGCTATCTAGTGGTTTTCGGCCCATCCCGCCACCGTGCCTGGGTTGTAGGTCAGAGGCCTCCTGGATGTTCGTTGAGATATCGTGGCAGGCCTTTCGAGGGTTTCTTTGGAGGCAGTTTTGAGGGCTCTTGGGGGCCGTCGGGGGGCTTCTGGGGGCTTCTGTTTAGGCCTCTTCTTGAGGTCTCTTGCAGGCCTCTTGGGGCCTCATGGGGGCTGCTTGGGGCGGAAGTATGAAATTGTCGGTTCGTGATCCCTCTCTTGGGTCCCTCTTGGGGCCCTTTTGGGGCTCTCTTGGGCCACTCGGACGTCTCGTGGGCCGTTCTGTTGCTGCCGCTGCTGCTGCTGCTGCTGTTGCTCCTCCTCCTGCTCCTCCCCGTCCTCCTCCGCCTCCTCCTCCTCCTCCTCCTCCTCCTCCTCCTCCTCCTTCTCCGCCTCGGAGCTTCGCAGGGATTTCTGCATGTTGTCGGGATCCCTGAGGGTTCGCCCGGGGTCCGTCCCACCCCACTTTGGGAGGAAATATGAGGGGGAAGAGGAGAAAATGGAGGAGAGGGAGGTGGGGCGGGGATACGAGGGAGGGAGGGACGGATAGAAAAAGGTGGAGACGGAGGATGATGAGGGCGACCACTTCGAGGAGGATGGGGCCAGTCGTGCTTGACATCCCGCATCATACACGTTGCCGAATGCATACACATGTGGGCCGTTTGGGGATCGGTGATGTGTGTGCGGTCTTTCCATTATTCATATGGTTGGTTGTATTTACAGAAGACACGCAACCGACAACCGTGTGTGGTTCCCACGAAATGTTATTAGAACATTTATGGCGGAGTCTGTCTTGTTTTAACGCATCGCGTTTATGTTCTAACAACGTTGTTTTTGTTATTAGAACATTTGTGGATTCTAAGAACATGTCGCGGTATGACTATAGGAATGCCGGGACGGTCGGTCCCTGCTCAACTCGCGCTTGTCAGCCAAGCGCAGAAGGGGGGTGGGGGGAGGGGGGAGGGCTTCTTAGAAACACCCCTGCCTCTTAGAAGGCGCGGGCCTGATCTATAGATGTGAGGCCGCCGCCTTCTAAGAAGCGGCCTCCGTCTAAGAAGCCCTCCCCCCTTTTTCCACCCCCCTGCGCGCGCCGCCCAGCTCGGGGCTCTGGTCCGCCGTGTTTTTTCACCCACGTTCCCGCCCGGAGGGCGGCCGCGGGCGCCTCGCGGGCGCCTCGTGCCGCGGGTGGCTCCGCCGAGGTCTCGCTGCGTTCCCGCCCGCGGGCGCCTCCTGGGCACCTCCCGGGCGCCGCCGTGCCCCGAGCGGGCAGCGCATCTCGGGCTGGACGAAAGAGGGGAATTGGGAAAGGGGGGGTTACGAACTTTGCTGCAGGCAGCTGGTTTCGGCCCCACGGAGGGGCCAATTCTTCGATACATAGCCGCCTCCGGCGCCGGGAGGCGCCGGGAAGTCAGCTACGTGAGCTGATTCCCCCTCCCCCCTTTGCTATCCCCCCCTTTCGCCCGGCCCGAAAATCTTGCACACCGCGAAGCTTTACACCGCATAGCGCGCACCTCCCCAGTTCAATATCTCAGTGTTTGGGGCCCACGGTGGTTAGCGTTCGTGATAGGTCACTCCTCCGGGGCGGGGAGGGCGGGCGGGGTGTTTTCTCACGTGTCGTTGCCCTGACGCCCTGCGTGAGCTGGAGATGCAGATGGAGGACGGCCCCGTTCCAGCTTGAGGGATCCACGAACCTGGTGAGAAACTTCAGTCAGGTTGATTTCTGACGCGCGTGCAACACTTTTTTCTTTGCTTGGCTGCAACCACTACCTTCTGCACGTCCTGCGCATCCTCCTCCTGCTCTTCCTGGTCCTCCTGCTCCTCCTCCTCGTAGTCCTCCTCCTCCTCCTTTTCCTCCTCCTTGCTCCCGCCTCCCTCCTCCTCATCACCCTCTTCCTGCCTTCACCATCCTTCTTCTCATCGTCATCTCCCTCCTGCATGGCGGTGCCTGTCGCGTACTAGGTCGCACGACGCGTCCAAGTTGGGTCCCCAGGGGGCCGTGGACACGTGAGAACGCGTGCCCCGCGCGCCCGCGCCATGCGCATGCTGGGTCTCGGGCCCACCTCTTCGCACGCACTGTGACGTGTAGAAACCCCGACGCACCCACGTTGGATTTTTCTTTAGGGGCGTAGGCACGTGAGAACGCGTGCTCCGCGTGCACGCGCCAGGCGCATGCTGGGACCCCCCCTCCGCGCACGCATTTTCACGTGTAGAAAATCCGACGCGCCCAGGGCCGTGGACACGCGAAAACACGTGCCCCGCACGCGCGCGCCAGGCGCATGTTGCCCCCCCCCCCCCCCCCTCTGCCCCTCCCCCGCCCCCTCCCCCCCCCCCTCCCCCCCCCCCTTCCCCTCCCCCCCTCCGCGCACGTAATTGTAGGTGTCGAAGATCCGGCGCGCCTATGTGGAGTTTCTCGTTGAGTCCCTCTTTGAGGGCCATGCACACCTGAAAACGCGTGCCTTCGAGCGCGCGCGCCAGGCGCATGTTGGGTGACCCTCCCTTCCGCGCACGCATCCTCAAGCGCAGGGAATCCAACGCGCTAAAAATGGGTCCCCCATCGGGGGCCGTGGGCATGTGAGCATGCGTGCCCCGCGCGCATGCGCCAGGCGCATGTTGCCCCCCTCCCCCCCCCTTCCCCCTCCGTCCCCCCCCGTTTCCACCCCCGCCATACCCTCCGCGTACAGAGCTCGATGCGCCCAAGTTGGGCCCCCCCGTCGGGGGCCGTGGACACGCGAGAACGCGTGTCCCGCGCGCACGCGCCAGGCGCATGATGCCCCCCGCCCCCCCCCCCCGCGCACGTATTTTCACGTGCGAATGTACAGACGCGCCCATGAGTGCTGTGGACACGTGGGAACGTGTGCCTTGCGCCAGGCGCATGTTACCCGCCTCCGCCGCGCACGTATTTTCACGCGTGAATCATCCGACGCGCCCAAGTTGCCCCCCCCTCCCCCCGGGGGCCGTGGACACGTGAGAACGTTTGCCCCGCGCGCACGCGCCACGCGCACGTTGGGCCCCCCCACCTTGCCATGTGTAGAGAATCCGATGCACCCACGTTGAGTCTCCCCCGAGGGCCGTGGATACAAGAGACCGCCTGCCCCGTGCCCACGCTCCAGGCGCATCTTGGGACTCTCGCGCGTAGAGAATCCGACGCCTCCAAATTGGGTCCCCCTTCTGGGGGGCGTGGGCTGGTGAAAACCGGTGCCCCGCGTGCACGCGCCGGGCCCATGTTGGGCCACCCCTCCGCGCACGTAAATTCACGGCTGGAAAACCCGACGCGCTTAAGTTGGGTCCCCCACTGGGGGGCCGTGGACACGTGAAACTGCACACCCCGCGCGCACGCGCCAGGCGCATGTTGCCCCCCCCCCCCCCCCTCTCCCCTTCCCTCCTTCCGAAAACCTGTCCGCGCACGTATTTTCACGCGTGGATCATCCGTCGCGCTCAAGGTGGACCCCCTCTCGGGGGCCGCGTACACGTGAAACCACGTTCCCCGCGCGCACGCGCCAGGCGCTTGCTGGGCCCCCCTCCGCGCGCGTACTTCCACGAGTGGGGGATCCGACGCGCCCAGGTTGGGCCCCCCCGGAGGCCGTGGACCGTGCGCACGC